CGCCTCCTGGGTGATCTGACCATCTTCTGCTCGGTGGTGTGCCAGGAACTGTGCGTTGCTGCAGGAGCTGGCTGTAGGTGGCTGCTGAGAGCCCAGGGGGCGGCAGGACTGTCCGCCGACACCTCCGGGGCTGGCTGGGTGCAGACAGTGCCCCAGCCCAAGGATCCCTCTGTGTCCCCCAGGACCACAGTGCTGCAGAGCATGAAGCTAGGGGTGGATGTCAATCGGCACAAGGAGATCATCGTCAAAGCCATTTCCGCCGTGCTGCTCCTCCTGCTCAAGCACTTCAAGCTGAATCACATCTACCAGGTGAGGCGGGCCAGGGTCCGGCTGGCCTGCACGGGGCTCTGGGGATGGGCAGGACCCAGGACGGGTCCCCATTCGCCCGCCTTTCTCCCCAGTTTGAGTACATGGCCCAACATCTGGTCTTCGCCAACTGCATCCCGCTCATCCTGAAGTTCTTCAACCAGAACATCATGTCCTACATCACTGCCAAGAACAGGTAGTGGAGGGGAGTGTCCGCCCGCATCCCTGCTGGGTGTGGGGAGGGGGTCCTTGCTCGCTTTGCCCCTCTGTGATCCCTCCCCGGCCATGGCTCCGGCGCAGGCAGACCCAGGGAAGTGCCCGGCTGCAGCTGGTGGGTGGGTGGGTGGGAGGTGTGGGGTTGCGTTGTCCCCAGGCCAGGTAGGATCAGCACGACACCCCCTCTCCTTCCTGCAGCATTTCCGTCCTGGACTACCCGTACTGCGTGGTGCACGAGCTGCCGGAGCTGACGGCAGAGAGCCTGGTGAGTCGCTCCCTTCTCTGCCAGGTCCTGGCACCTTGGGGTGCTTCCCAGTGGGGGGATCATGGGTGCAGGAAGGCAGTAGGGCTCCAGCACCCAGCCCTGGCGCCCTCAGCACTCCTGCGCTCAGCCCCTGGTGCTGCTGGGGCTTTGGGGGGTGCATGGGGCTGGCAGGCGTCTCCTGCGTGCATCCTGTGCTGTACCCCTTTGGGCAAGGGTCCTCAGACCAGAACAGCCTCTCCTCGTCCCCGCTCCGATCTCTTGCCTGACCCCTGCCTCTGCTTTCCCGCAGGAAGCAGGAGACAACAACCAGTTTTGCTGGAGGAACCTCTTCTCCTGCATCAACCTCTTGCGCATCCTGAACAAGCTGACCAAGTGGAAGCACTCCCGCACCATGGTGAGGGTCGGGGAACCCGCTGGGGCTCAGCCCAGCCGGACTGGGCTGTCGCAGGGCACCTGGACTGGGTGAGGGGGCTGTGGGTACCTTGGGGTGCCCTTTGTGCTGCACCCCAGACCTCGCTGGGGAGCGGCTGGGCGAGGGAGGGTGGGTGGAAGGGGTGAGGGAGAGCGCACGCTGCGGAGAAAGGCTTGTGTGTGCTGGAGGGGAGGGGGTTGGCATGTGTGCGACGGGAGGTACCCGCGTACCCATCCCAGCCATGTCACCCCTCTGTCCCCGGCTGCCGGGGGGGGCTGTTCCCCACAGATGCTGGTGGTGTTCAAGTCAGCACCCATCCTAAAGCGGGCGCTGAAGGTGAAGCAGGCCATGATGCAGCTCTACGTGCTGAAGCTGCTCAAGGTACAGACCAAGTACCTGGGCCGGCAGTGGAGGAAAAGCAACATGAAGACCATGTCGGCCATCTACCAGAAAGTGCGGCACCGTCTCAACGACGACTGGGCTTATGGCAACGGTACGTCCTTCGCAGCGGCTGCAGAGCGTCCCGTTGCCCGCTGTCCTTCCTGCTCCATGCAGTGACGTGGCTGTGCCCAGATATGCTCCTTTGCTGCTTTAGGGCTTGCGCAGCCCTTAAGTCTGGGGTGAGGGGAGGGGGAAAGGGCTGGCAGTGGCCGGTGTTGGAGCCGTTGGTGGCTGCCTGCTCCGCGCCCTGCGTGTTGCTCTTTGTAAGGACCTGCAAAGACCTTTCCTGAGGGATTTGGGCTGGCTGAAGAGCCCACAGCTCCCCTCTGACATCCCTCTTCCCTCTCCCCAGACCTGGATGCCCGGCCCTGGGACTTCCAGGCGGAGGAGTGCGCCCTGCGCGCCAGCATTGAGCGCTTCAACTCGCGTCGCTACGACCGGGCGCACAGCAACCCCGATTTTCTGCCCGTGGACAACTGCCTGCAGAGCGTGCTGGGCCAGCGCGTGGACCTGCCCGAGGATTTCCAGGTCAACTATGACCTGTGGCTGGAGCGGGAGGTCTTCTCCCGACCCATCTCCTGGGAGGAGCTGCTGCAGTGACGGACGATGGGGAGGCAGGAAAGGGGGTGCTTTGGGGAGATCTCGAGGCCGGCCCGCTGCCGGGAGCGAGGCTTTGGGGGGGGTCTGTGGGTGCCTGGACCCCCTTTGGCGGGCTTGGGAAGAGGCTGGAGCTGTGGGGTCCTCGCCGAGACGCTGTCCTGCCCCTCTGCCTCCTTCCAGGCTGTGCCAGACTCAAGCCCGAGCTGAGGGTGAAGGCTTGGTGGAGGCCACAGTGCCCTGGGAGTTTCCCGTTGGGTGGGGGGGACCTGTGCGAGCCCCTGGTCAATGCTTTCGGAGGCAGCGGTGCCATCACCCTCCTCCTGCCCCCCACCAGCCGGAGCCAAAAGGGGGGAGCAGGCGGCGGTGCGGGGAGCGGGGCAAAGCCGGGTGAGGCCCCCTTCGGCGCTGCGGCGGGACGTGGGGAGCAGAG